TCAGCTCTGATATTAAGGGTCGGCATGTGCCTCAGTTGGTAAGTACTTGCCCAGCATTTGCATTTGCAAGGCACAGGATTCAATTCCCAGTACCACAAAATAATTAAAATAGTAGAAAATAAAACAAAAAGAAAATGTAATTTCAAACACAAAGACACTGGTGATTGTGTTTAAAAAAAAATTAAGCACTTCTGTTAGATAAGGGAACAGAAGTTCGGTTAATTAGATTCTTCATAGGGTTTTCTTTTTAAAAAATATTTTATGCCAGACGTGGTGGCGCACGCCTTTAATCCCAGCACTTGGGAGGCAGAGACAGGTGGATCTTTGTGAGTTCGAGGCCAGCCTGGTCTACATAGTGAGCTCCAGGACGGCTGGGGCTACAGGAAGACCCTGACTCCAAAAGACAAAAAAAAAACAAAAAAAAAAAATTATTATTTTTATTTTACGTGTATGAGTGTATTACCTACATGTGTATAATGTAATGCCTGCAGAGGTCAGAAGAGGCTGAACTGTCAGATTCCCCTGAAACTGGAGTTATGGACCATTGTTAGCCACCATGTCGGTGCCGGAAATTGAACCTAGGTTCTCTGCAAGATAAGTCAGTGCTCTTAACCACTGAGCCATCTCTCCAGCCTCCATAGGGTTCTTTCTATCGTATTCAAGTTCTATCTCAAAAGAAAAGCTCTAAGAAAAAGACAAGTGGCAGGTGGGGACATATTTGTAATGACAAGACATTTATATCCTTATGAATATCATACCCTCAAAAGTGACAGACACAGCAGGAGGCAGAGGCAGGAGGATCACAAGGCCTGCCTGTGTTATAGAGGGAGTTCAAGGCCAGCCTGGGTAGTGTAGCTCTGTGATAAAATGCTTGTAAAGGGCCCTAAATTCAAGCCCTAGTACTAATAAAAATGACAACCAATGGGGAAGTGGGCAAACTTGAACAGATATGCTACAGAAACCAAGCAGTGGAAAGAGGTGCTGAAAGATGGTTGCCTTTAAGGTAAGCAGAAAATGCAAATTAATTACAATGACACAATCTGTACTCATCTGAAGGAACCAGGAAGACACTGAATGCAGTACATGGGGAGCAGGCACTGCCAGATCCGGTGGCCAGTAGGAAACAGGGATAGCTTCCTTTAAAATACAAACTTGGCAGTTCTGATTCCAAGACAGTACCTACTTAGATCCCACAATTCCACTTGTAGCTCTCCTCCTGAGAAGCCGCTGGGACAGTCCACACTACTGTCATGTTGCCCCTATATGCGCGCGCGCATGCACGCATGCACGCACACACACACACACACACACACACACACACACACACACACACAAAAATGGTAGGAAAGGCTTCCAGAGTTAAAATACTGCTTGTCTGAACTGCAAGGCCTTCATTGTCTGGGCAGAATATATTTGTGTGTTACATACATAAATAATAGATGGAAAAAGAATCTATAGAGACTAAAGCTGGTTGATTGGGGGAGGCTATTTTTCCTTGCCTCCTGTACCCCATTGCTGGTATCCACTTTGCTGGGACCTCAGTAACCCCAGCATCCCCCAGTGGACACAGCCTGGGCTGAGAGGTAGCCCTGGAGCTGAAGAGAAGAAGAGCCAACTTGGTACAGTTAGATGCGTTGAGCAGAACACAACTCTCACTGGTCTATAGGCTCTGGGTGCAGTTTGCATAATGGTGGGGTTGGCTCTTACATGTAGCAGGCCACAGGTAGGGGGAGAGGTCACAGGAGCAACTCTCCTGGCAGATGTGAGGGGCCCAAGACTCAGCTCCTGGCAGCCCCTATGAGGGATCCATTTCACACCATCCCTGGCCAGGCCTTTTGGCTGTCCCCCCTCCAACTGCAGGCACCAGGGATACTTAAAAGCACCCATGCCTCCACAGTCTAGGAGGAGCAATAGGGAGCAGTGAGGAGCAGCCCAGACGTGGCTGATCCCCACTGCTAACCTATCGTCCTGTGGTCCTTCTGGGAGACTCCCAGAAACTCCCAGGATGTACGTTCTTAACAACCAGGCAGGATGATCACAAGGTCTCGTCCACAGCCCCCAGGGAGTCCTTGCCAGTCTGGCATCTGATGATCCTAAATCCCAAAGGCCCCAGGGAAGGAAATAATGTGGAATCTTAGGTTTAACGAGAGCCGCCAATGTCCCCTCTGAGGGCGTGCTTGGCCCTCCCCACTTCCCTTGCTATTTTTGGCCTTGCTAAGAATAGTTTGCTTTAAATATCCACCTCTTGCCATGGCTTGGCTCTCAGGGCTACCCCACAGTACCTACCATGAGCCCCTCCAGGAAGCAATCACCCAATAAGCCCAGTCTACAGTTCCCCAGATCTCTGCTCCCTCTGTCAGGCACAGTCCCTAGGCCCCTAGAACACAGACTTACTACGAGTTTGACCCAAGGTCTTTGTGTTCTGCATCTGCTCTGAACCTGGTATCCGAGGCTGGGCCCTCTATGGGGACACAGAGTGGAAGTGATGGACAGGACCCTGCCAACGTCCCTCTTGAGATTTACCACAGAAAATTCTGTATTCTGCTTTCTAGCCTGTGCATATCTGCCACCTCCACAAGTGGCCCTTGGAAGGAGTTGGGTCTCAGAGGCTCACAGCAGGAGGGAAGGTGCATTCTCCCTGCCTGCCCTGCCTAGGCTCAGGGCTAAGGCCCACCTGGGTCCTTCCTCCATGCCTGAAGTGGGGACTCACTTGTTGAAGAGGTTCAGGCCGATGCGGTAATGCCTCTTGCGGATGACATCATTGCTGAAGGCAGGTGAGTCCCAGCTGTTTCGGGTCTCCTTGTGGTATGTCTGCTTGCTGAGGGTCTGTTCCCGAAGGCTGTCCCGTGATGAGGACTCAGAGCTGCAGTTGATGGTGTCGTTGGAGTTGGATGTGCTGTTGATGCTGTCATTGTCTCCGTCTGAGTAGTCTGACTCAGACTTGCTCTGCCGGTTGGCTGAGCCATTGATGGCCAGGTGGCTCTCAAGGGGCCTGGGAGGCCGGGGTCGTAATTCAGGCTCCTCCCGGGGGAGGCCTTTGGGGGGGCCACCGTGGGAGCCATGCTTGGGGCTGCCCTGCTGCCCACCAAGGCCACGCTCATAGGCGCTTTGCCTCTTGAGTGAGCCACGGTCTGAGCGGTCACTGAGGTCCACAGAGCTGTCGCTGGGCGGCTCAATAGTGAGCAGAGGGAGATGCTCCACCCGCAGCCGTGGCTCTGGCCGCTCCAGTGATGGTGTGCTTCGGCAGCTCGTGTCCGTGTCAGCCTTGTCCTCCTTGTGGGCTAAGGACCAGTAGTCCTGGGCTGCACCCCCAACCCGCAGACGCAGGTCCGACTCAGTGCTGGAAGGTCGGTCCCCAGCCTGTGAGAGCGGCAGAGGTGGCGACAGTTCTTCCTCATCAATGTAGAGAGTGACGTCACTATACGAGGCTGTCATCTCATCCAGCTTTCGGTGATCCATGCTGTGCAGGCTGGGCTTGGGCTCGGAGTCCCTGGTCCGGGCTGTGTCTGGGGCTGGTACCTCCTCGCTGTGCAGGCTGCGGCAGTTGAGGGCATCATCGATGGACTCAGCCAGGGACTTCACCTGCCGGGAGAAGGCATCCTCCAGCTCTGTGATGGCATCCGTGAAGTCACTGGAAGGGGCTGGAGACTTGAGGGCTGTCTCACCAAGTTCTCCACACTCGGATGGCACCAGGGCTCCCAGCTGAGAGCCATCATTGGTCACTGAAACTTGCTTGCCCTCAAAGTAGGAGCTATGCACCTTCTCGGGGCCCTCGAAGGAGAACTGCATCCTCATGTTGGACAGCACAATGCGGCGCGACATGCGATTCTCTGACATGGAGCTGCGCAGGCGCTCGAAGTTCTTATTCATCTGGTACTGGCGGAAAGCCGTCTGGATGGTGCGGGCTGCATGGCGGGTCACGAGGCGTCCCCCATACTTACGTTCTAGCATCTCCACCTGGTGGGATAAGGAGAGGAGAATGTGGGTACAGTGATAGGCAGGTACCTACCACATTCTGTGCTGCATAGGGGTGTCACTGTGATGGTCTTACCGAATCTTCAAGTGGCTTATAACAGCAGCTTGAGGCTGCTGGGGTGCTTATGTGAAATATGGGTCCCACTGTCAAATAAGGTGAAGTGCCAGGACAGATGGAAGCAGGGTAAAGTTGGTGGCACACATGTGCTGAGCTTCCCAGCACCTCTAGTCACAGAAACTGTAGGTCTTGGCATGCCTGTGGTGTGCAATTTTCTGAAGACGCTTCTGCAGATACATCCCTGGGGCTGGGAAGCCTGAGGCATGCACATGTCAGGACTCGGCCAGAGGGCCTGGCAAGGCCTGGGGTCTGCACATGGCTGTGGGCTCAAGGCCGGGTATCTTGGTTCTGCCTCTCATTAGCTATGGATGAGCCATGAGACCATGAAAGCTCCTGCCTTTCCTTATCTGTAATATGGGCAGCAGTGGGACCTACTTCCTAGGGCTCCGGTAAGCTCTCAGGGATGGAAGCCAGGCACTTGGCACAGGACAAGCCCAGGGGCAGCTGGCTGAACTTTCAGCTCCATTCTTAGGCAGCAGTTGCAGTTTGCGAGGCCTCTACCTACCTTATATCACAGCTGGGCAAACTGAGGCCTAGGGGGAGATCAGCAGGACTGGCTCTCTCGATACCCTATGGCTTCATGCGCTCAGATGGGTGTACTGCAATCTTTCTGAAGGATAGAGCTACAAGTTGGAAAGGGAGTTGGGAGAGCTCTCAAGCACCTCAACTCCACATCTCCTGGAGTGACCCATGGCCTCGTGAAGTCCTGAGTTAACAGTCTACCTATGACCAAGAACAGCCCGAGGAGCTGCTCCGGAGCTTGGTTCCTGGGTGAGAAGGAAACACACCCCTCCAGCTAGAACCATGTCTATAGGAATCAAAGAAAAGCCAAGATATAGTCAGCGTCTCTGGCTGCTGGAGCAGGGCTGTATCTGACGTAGGGGCGAGGAGAGGACTCAGGCCCCCAGGAGATGAAACCCTGACCTACCAGCCTGGTCCACTGGCATTATGGGCCAGTACCCACAGCACACGTGGCAGGGAGACAAACAAGGTCCCTGAGGGAGGACATGTGAGAACAGACAGACACACATTCTGACACAGAGCTCCACAGATGCTGAGCAGAGCCAGGGCTGTGGCTTAAGCTGGGGAGAGGGTACCTCTGCAAGCTGGGGCCAGTGTACATGGACTATCAGGCTGGCCAGAGAAGAGGCCCCACAGGCAGCCAGGATGGCTCTGTTGTTCTCTCCTGGAAGTGGCTGATGCCATCCAGAGATGCCCATGCTTCTACATCTACCAGTAAAGTTTCTACTGGCTGAGTGGCCAGCTCAGAGAGTGTGGGGCCAGAAGGAAGTGAGGCAGAGCCTAAAAAATTCTTTCTTCCCTCATTCTCCTCCTAAGAAGGCCTTGGGCAATGTCTTCAGAGCCACCGGAGCCACCAAAGCTCACTCCAAGGACTTCCCTGCTGCCCTAGACTAGTCCCTGAAGAAGACAGCTCATCAGGAAAGCAGAAGTGGACTCTGTGTTGAGTCACCAAAATCCCTCTTTGTCTTTCTCCTAAGTGGACACTCACTGACCCAGCCCTGTTCTCTCTTACCTCTGAACTCACCATGGCCATGCTGTCTTCTGGTCTAGAACTGACATGAAACCATCTACAGCTCTTCTGGGATAGGGAGGAGGGGAAACAATAAATTCTTGCTCATTTAAGGGATGTGCCAGGGACCACACCTTCATAATAGCCCTACCTTCCCGAGGGGCTCTGCTGTTCTGTGATGACAGGAGGGGCCTTGGGGTCAGGCTCAGCCATACCTACTTACTTCAAAACAGCATGAGGATCAAGAGGAATTCCCTTCCACAAGGCAAGAGACTGTCACCACTCAGTGGCTTGGGGCCATTCCCTGGTCCCTGTGAAGGCCTGCTCTTGGGGACAGGAAAGTTGGGCTCAGGAGAATGCACTTGACTTGTACTGTACTCCTTTCACTAAAATGGGGCTTTGTGTCATGGACTTCACCTCATGCAATCAAGAATCCCACTTTCATCCTACAATTCTCATTCTCATAAATTGAGCCCTATCCTCACTTTTTGCCTTGCTTTCTGGGAAGATCAGTGCAATGTGGAATATTAAGGGCTGTTCATGTCAGCTCCAGCCTCTATGCCACCTCTTCCCTGACATCTTTTGACCTCTCACATATACCAAGGCCATTTTTGCCCCTGGGTCTTAGCAGATCCTGTTATCCTTTCTCCAAATGCCCAGCTCTCAGGCCTTCCTTCAGGCTGACAATCCTTACCTGACATAGCCATTACTCAGAGCCACTGTACTTCTCCCTCCAGTACTATAACTCTTGGGGTCTGTGTTACTTTCTGGAATGAAACTGTCTCTCCTGCTGACTTGCTTGTCCAACTACTGTGCAGGAGCATCACTCAGGTGCAGCAGCCTCACCTTGCTGGTTGTCCCTGTCCTATTGTCTGGCACTGGGGAGAATTCAGCTATGGGCAGAATGAAGGTAAGCAGCTGCCTATTTGTGATATCTATCCCCTCAGTCTCCATGCTGCCCCAACCTTTCCCAATTCTATTTCATGGTCCTGTGCAAATGACTTTTATAATAAACTCTTTGTGAGTCTCTTTGGATCTGGGCAAAGCTAAGAAATTCTGTGCAGGCTATTTCACCTGCTGCTAGACTGGCCATGGGGTCAAGGGCTACAGCAGTGGGGGAATATCTGCTACCAGGCTCTGCCCCCTTGCTAGCCCCCTTGTTAGTCTCAACTCATGGGAAGGATGATGTGTAAGCCGGGGGGTGGGGTGGGAGGAGGTCGGGGCTGAGGGGCATCTGCTGGGGAGAGGATCTACCCTGGGCAGTATGCCACCTTTCCCTTAGGAAGTTGGGGCTGTACCAGCCAAGACCTCTGCTCCTTTAAGGACAAGTAGGGAGGTGAGGAACAAACACAGCTGGCAGCACAGTGCAGGTATGAGCAAGAGGGAAGGTGCAGCATCTGTGGGCTGTGGAAAGAGTACCAGTCCATGGCTGAAGGAACCGTCTGGGAGACAAAGGAGCTTTCCCAAAGCTCAAGGCTCAGGAGCTTTGGGATGTCAAACAGCCATTCCTGCCTGTCCCTATACTTCCCAGCAGCCCATGGGTCTCCTGAAGCCTGACACTGCTTAGAGACATGTCCAAATAGTAGGCACTCACTCCTGTACCTGCCAGTTCATTACTGGGGTTCTTCGAAGGCCTCATTGGGCACCTGCACCCTGAGGGTCTGTTCTGTTCACAGCCCCACTATGGGCCAGGCCACCTGTCCCTGAGGACTAAGACCTGAGGAAGGGCTATAGTAGTTGATATGGTGATCTTCTAGAGACTGCTGGATTCATAAGCCATATATAATATAATAAACAACCTCCCTCCCTCAGGCCTTTCCTGAGACCTAAGAATTTCCACAGCCACCCTGGTAACCTGTATCCTAGTGGTGCTGGGTCATAACACTCAGGTGCCCACCATGGCCCCCAGATCCTGGCTGTGAGGGGCACGGCAGCCTGTAAAGGTAACATTTCTGACTGTTCCCAGAAAGGATGTCAGGGGGCCCCAGCCATCACTATAGACCCCCTTGCACACCTCACCAGAGCTGGGCTAGGAAAGGCTCTGGGAGAAGCAGATATGAGGTTTACCCCAAGGGCCACACCATCATCCTCAGATGTACACCCCGGCTAGTATCTGGGAGCATCTGGTAGCTGAGGAGACTATGCTTAGTGGACAGGAACATCCTGCTGCTTCTTGCCCTGGTGCCCTGAGGATTGTGGTCACCTACCTGCTTGTCCTGCAGATCTGAGGAGAGCTCATAGCTCTCAGAGAGTGACCTCGAGCGCTTGATGGCCTCCTCCTCAGCCTGCTTGCGCAGGACGGAGGACGAGTGCTGCAGCCGGGGCCTCCGAGTGCGCTGTTGTGGCCCTGGCCCCGCATATAGTCCATAGGCACCCACTGACGTGTGCTCGTAGTGGTCTGGGCTCAGGCTGGAACCAGGCACCAGGGGCCCCTGGTGGTAGGCAGAGGGGCTGTCCAGCGATGTGCCAGTCTCACTGCTGGGGGCCTCACCCTCAACGCTGTAGAAGAGACAGAGAGGGGAGACATGTTGAGTGGAAAAGCAGAACCCAAGGAGCAAGGTCAGAAGGACCTCAAGCAGCTAAGGACCCTGCAAAAGACCCTCTGCTCTCCACTTTCCTGGGACTTTTGTAAAACTTGCATGCTCTAACCAGCATACTGTACTGACAGGGCTGGCTTCCCATGCAAGAGTGTCAGCTCCTAAAGGACAGGGTTTTGACCCACTTGTGTGCTGATGACCCCTAGCTTAGAGCAGAGTCCAGCCCATGGTAGGTACTTAGAAAACACCAAATATGTAGAACTGTCTTAGTTTGTTTCTTCATTGCTGTGACAAAATACTCTGACCAGTACCAACTTGGGGAGGAAAGGGCTTATTCAGCTTAAATCTCCCAGGTCGCAGTTCATCAGGGAGCCCAAGGTAGGAACTCAGGGCAGGAACCAGCACAGGCCATGGAGGTACGCTGCTTACTGGCTTGCTCCCCTGGCCCTTACTCAGCCTGCTTTTTTATGCAACACAGGCCCACTTGCCCAGGGTGGCACCACCCACCGTGGGCTGGGCCCTCCCTCATCACTCATCAAGAAGATGCCCCTCAGACATGGCCACGGGCCAGTCCAATAGAGGCAATTCCCCAACTGAGGCTCCCTCAGCCCAGGTGTGTCAAGTTGACACTCAAGCTATCCAGCACAAGAACAATCACCTCTTCTCCACCTGAAGTAGCCCCACCCCCACCCCAACCCCCCTCCTGTATCTGGAGACAGAATCTTTTAAATGAAGTTAAAACAGGGACCTTAGAATGGACTCCTGTATAACTGAACTGGTATCGTTCTAAGAACGGGAACGCAAGACACAGAACACACAGAGGGAAGACCATGTGGAAACATGGAGGGGAGGCGGTCATTCACACACTCAGAAGAGAAGAAGAAAGCAGCTGGGGCCACACCTCCATCTCAGACTTGCGGCCTCCAGAGCCAGGGGATAATGAAGGCCTGTTGGTGAAGCCTGTCTCTGGTATTTGTTATGGCAGGCTTGGAAGCAAACACAATGCTGCACAAACATTTTCTTTAAATCTTAACCCTAGTCTGCAAAAAAGGAATTATAAATCTCTGTACAGGTGAGGAAACTGAAGCCCATGAGCACTATTCCACATCCCATAGGCAGATAGTGAGTTAGGATTAAAGGCTAGGGACCAGTGCCTCTCCATCTCACTGCCTCTCACCCCACACTGTACCTCCACACCAAGCAGGATTGGGGCCAACTGGTGGGGACAAAGGGGCAGGCGGGCTGACTCATTCCAGCCCTGGGTCCGGAACACTCTACTCTAGGCAGACACAGGTTTTCACTGTACTTGCTTTTCAATGAGGGATAGGGAGAGAAAGGAGACTGATTTGAGGAGTTTCTAACACAAGCTCTTGTCCCCTGCCAGGCTCCCTGTCCCTGTGAGACCACGCACCCCGGTGCTGGCAGGGACTTTAAAGGCCTCTGATCCCTGGGGCAGGGTGGAGGTCTCTGGAATCAGCAGAGAGAGAACACAGGCCCCACCCAGGCTGCAGTCATTTTCAATGTCTCCTCTTCAGATGGGAACGCCTTGCATTCAGCAGCCCTGGCAGACAGGCCATCCCTACCCAGCTCTACTTGAGTCTTGCTGCTCTCCAGGAGCCTGGCAGGGCAAAAGCCCACGGGGTTCCCAGGGTGAGGCCCACAGAAGGGAGCCTGGAAGCCGCCTATCCTTGGACTCTGACCACCCCTGCACCAGGGCCAGCAGCAAATCTCAGCGTTTGCTTTCTGGCCTTCAGTATAGGAACAGGGCTTCTACACCAGCAACTACCTCTGGCCTCCAGTGACAGGCAGCGTACTGTCCTATCACATCCCAGTGCCTAACATGTGACAGAACCATTCTTTGAGGAAGTCCTGGGTCAGGAGCTGGAAGACAAAGCTCTGTTGAGGTAAATCGGGGAGCGGTGGGGGGCGTCACCCTCATTTCAGGCCTCAGTTTCCCTCTCGATAGTATGAGTGACTTAATCCAAGAAATACCACCCTTGAAGACACTTCTGGCACCACAGAAGCCACCTGAGGCCTTCCCCTGGCACCTCCAACCAATGTCCTTCTGGCTCTGTGTGGGAAGGACAGAGACTGGCAGATCTGAAAATTCTCCCATTGTTTGCTAAAGCTCAGACCAGCACCTTGAAATAAATGCTCAGAGCATCAACCAACTGTTCTAAGAAGTGAAGGAGTCCTGTCGGAACTGGGCCATCCAGGGTCTGGAGAGGTGGCTCAGCAGTTAACAGCACTTGCTGTTCTTGCAGAGGACCCAGGTTCAGTTCCCAGCATCCACGTCAGGGCACCGACACCTGCCTATAACGCCAGCTTCAAAAACAAGCCAGCAAGCCAGGTGTGGTGGCACACACGTTTAATCCCAGCAATCAGGGGGCAGAGGCAGGTGGATCTGTGTGAGATAAGAGGCCAGCCTGTTCTGCACAGCAAGTTCCAAGCCAGCTAGGGGGTATAGGGAGATCCTGTCTTTGGAAAAAAAAAAAAAAAAAAAAAAATTGGGCCAACCAGGGGCATCAGCCTCCACCGGGAAAGCCCCTACCCTAGGCTGTATGAGCCCAAGTTTGGGCCTTGGCTCATAGCCCTTAGCCTGTATTGCCTTGCTTCACTCTGTGGCGGATCAGCACACACAGGAAAGCACGCCCACATGCTCATGTGCCCTTCAACCGGATGTGTGTTTGGGTTAGGGGCCAGATCTGTATTGAGCTGTGCTCCTTATAAAGGATTTCAAACCTGCGGGAGCACAGAGAAAACAGGTAGTTACCCCCCACCCTGGAGCAGACCCTGAAGGCCCTTGGTGGTCAACAGACTGCACCTGAGTGCCAAGGGACTCAGGCGGGGAAGAACAGGCCAAAGGGATTTGGGCCCTTTCTTATCTGGCCAGAGAGCAGCTTCAAGGACAGAACACTGTTCCCAGCCATGGGGAATGAGCAGGGTCTAGGCTGCCTATAAGCCTGGGACATATTACTGTCCCACTGTGCCTCAGTCTGGTGCAGAGCGACTAAGAACAGGGACACTGTCCCTGACTGGCTTTGTATCCACAGGCAGGTGAGACATCAGAGAGGGTATCTTCTGTCCTGGGGGTGCTTCAGGCCTGGGGATAATTAAGTACCTTGGGGACAGGATCAGGATGAAGGTAGTCAGGGACAGACAGGATCTTTCTGAGGCTACATGGCTGCTCTAGACAGCCTTGGGCTACTAGAGTGTGCTTGAGAGAGGAGGTTAGGTCTCTCCAGAGCTTCCCCTATGGGAAGGAGGTGGGTCACCAAGAGGCAGCTCATTAGTCTCTCCTGAAGAGCCAACCCAGCCTCACTCAGCTGTGTCCACCTTCTGTCAAATCTATGTGAATGGTGGCTCTTGAGCTGTGTAGTGCAGCAGGCTTCATACAGTCCAAAGGAACCAGGCCCAGGATTAGAGAGATGGTTCAGCGGGAAAGGAGCTTCCTGCCAAGCCTGCCGACCTGAGCTTGATCCCCAGGACCCACGTGGTGAAAGGAGAGAACGGACTCCTGAAAGTTGTCCTCTGACCTCCACACACATGCTATGGTGCATACTCACACACATGTTCACACATACTCACACACACATGCACGCACAAGCACACACACACACACAAATTAAATAAATGTAATAATAATTTTAAAAAGAACTAGATTTTGCTCAGGGGGCTCTGCCACGGACACTAGGCAAAGCCAGCAGCTAGGATCTGTGCCACGCACCTCAAGGACCTACCCTGATGTTCCCAATCAGAAGCTATATGGCGTCAGACACCAACAGACTTTTCTTAATTAAAATGTGTCTGAACCTGGAATGACAAAGATGAGACTCCTAAGTGGGAAGGCCCATGTTGCCAAGCCCATGAGCAAGGGCTATGCTACTCTACACTGGTGGATGCCTGGCCATTCCAGGGAGTGACCCAGGATGTGTCTTAGCAGCAGCACCCCCCCACAAAGCTCTTCATGAGACTCAGCTCCACTCCACTTTCTTCCAGGAGTAGGAGGATGGGGAGACAGAACTGTCCCATTGCCACAGAACAGCCACTCTGTCACAGTTTACTGTGGTACAGCAGTTCCATTTCTCTACCATATATTGTGTTTGTGGGACATTCAATACATTGCAAAGTACAATATTTTCACTCAGGACTCATTTCCCAGGACATGGCCTGGTATAAGCAGAGGGAATTACTCTATGTCAGTCTCTAGCATGGACTCCAAGGCAGGCTAGATCAAATCTTACATCTGAACCCTGTCATCACCTCCAGCCTCCTGAGCTCTGAGCTCCAGGTCTCATCCTCCCTCCATCCCAGGTTCAGCTCCCCAAGGAAGCTTTTCCCTAAATCCAGGCCTATCAGACAAGGTTGAGCACCCCAGAGTCAGTCTTCAGTGGTACCCCTCAATTCAGCACTTCTCTTTCAAATGCCTAGGCCACTGGCAAATCAAGGAACAGGATGGGATACCTGTTCCAATTCCCCTATAGTCCCTAAGTGCTCAGTTTCTGGAATGTTCTATGGCAGTTAGATGGCTACCACCCATATGTCTCAAGAAGATGCTCTGGTTCAGTAATCCTTTTTCCGGGGACACACTGAGGGAAGCAGAAGGGGTAGAAGCAAGGATTTTCAGAGCACTGACGTATCACAGAAGACTGGAAATAATCTAGATGCCCATCTAAAAGGGACTGACTACAGTTAATTCTACACCCACACAAGGGAAGTAATGTCAAGATGGGAAATGATCCAACCTGACAGCTGTTCTTGTGATGAGACCTGGAGAAGGTTTGACTGACTGATGTGAGCTGATGCCATCACGGCAGCTGAGGAGCCTGGCGCCTCGTTGAACAGAAAGTCAGAGCAAAAATAGCTCTGGTACAGTTGTCAGACCACAGCAGAAACATGTATGGACAGGGCAGAGGTAGCAGACCCTTCACCTTTCCCTTCCTACCCCCCTGAAGACATTGC